TAAACTTTAGATTAAAAAACGGGCAGCGTTTAGTTACATAAAGAATTGCATTAATATATTAAGAGGAACTCACCCTAAACCCTAAACTTTAGATAACAAAATGGGCAGCATTTAGTTACATAAAGAGTTGAAGAGGAACCCACCCTAAACCCTAAACTCAAGGAACCCACCCTAAACCCTAAACTTTAGATAAAAAAACGGGCAGCATTTAGTTACATAAAGAGCTGAATAGGAACCCACCCTAAACACTAAACTCAAGGAACCCACCCTAAACCCTAAACTTTAGAAAAAAAACGGGCAGCGTTTAGTTACATAAAGAATTACATTAATATATTAAGAGGAACTCACCCTAAACCCTAAACTTTAGATAACAAAATGGGCAGCATTTAGTTACATAAAGAGTTGAAGAGGAACCCACCCTAAACCCTAAACTCAAGGAACCCACCCTAAACCCTAAACTTTAGATAAAAAAACGGGCAGCGTTTAGTTACATAAAGAATTACATTAATATATTAAGAGGAACCCACCCTAAACCCTAAACTTTAGATAACAAAATGGGCAGCATTTAGTTACATAAAGAGTTGAAGAGGAACCCACCCTAAACCCTAAACTCAAGGAACCCACCCTAAACCCTAAACTTTAGATAAAAAAACGGGCAGCGTTTAGTTGCATAAAGAATTACATTAATATATTAAGAGGAACTCACCCTAAACCCTAAACTTTAGATAACAAATGGGCAGCATTTAGTTACATAAAGAGTTGAAGAGGAACCCACCCTAAACCCTAAACTCAAGGAACCCGCCCTAAACCCTAAAATAAAAAGGGGAGCATTTAGTTAAATATATAATTACACAAAGAATTTGAGATACAAAAGCAGACAAACCCACCTTAAAGCCTAAACTCTTTTAAACACGGGCAGTGTTTTGTTTCATAAGGAATGAATTTTAACCCTCAGACCAAAGCAGACCAAAGAATTTGACAAAACGAAAGACAAGAGCAGGATCGAAGAAAGACAAGAGTCGTGATGGGTTTGAAAGTGTTGTCTCGACAGTTTCTGATATTTCTCCAGAGTCTTGACAGTCTTGAAAGTTCTTTGAGAGTCTTGAGAGTTTTGAGAGTTTTTCCATATTTGATATATGAGTGGAACTCGCGAATCGTGTCGAAATACTACCTGAAAAGCATTGCTAGCATTCTGGTTCAAACCAAAGTTGTTGGCCCTGTCTGGGCAATAGATTGTTGGCACTTGATGTCGGCGCTCGACGATGCTAGTGCCCCTGAAAAGCCCACGCCAGAGACAGAGGACAAAGATCAAGAGACACAGCTAGAGGCAGAGGAAGTTGAGCAAGAGGACGAGAATCTTCAGGAACAAGCGACAGAAGAGCGACAGACAGAGAATCCAGAAGAGCAGGGCGAAGCACCAAAAAAGAAACCCAAAGGCAAAGCCCAAGCAAAAACAAAGGCAAAGGCAAAAGAAAAGGCTGCCCCAAAGCCCAAAGCCAAGGCAAAGGGAAAGGCAGCCGCCCAGAAAGCAAAACCAAAAGCCAAAGCCAAAGGGAAATCCAAAGCCAAGAAAGGCCAGAAAGACCAGGAAGAAGAGGACGCGCGCGCAGAAGAAGCGAAATTGAAGGAAGTGAAGGAGGAACCAGCAAGTCAGACACCCAAAAGGAAAAGCAAAAAGAGGCCTGCTGCACCAGAGAACGATGGAGACGGCTCTGAGCCTGCTCAGGCCAAGGCCAGGGTCGAGCCAAAGAAGGAGACGAAGGAAGAGAAGAGCACAAAGGCTGAGAAGAGCAAGAAGGAGGAGAAGAGCGCAAAGGAGGATAAGAACACAAAGGACGACAAGAACAAGAAGGACGAGAAGAGCAAGAAAGACGAGTTTTGTGAGCGTTGCTTCGAGAGAGTTTGGAGAGCTTTACTTTGAGAGAGTTTTGAGGGAAATTGTTTGGAGATTTTGGAGAGCTTCGACAGACTCGGCAGGCTTGATGTTTAGTAGGTTTGATTGACCCACGCGCAGCAACTAGAGCACAAAGGACGATAAGAACACAAAGGAAGAGAAGAGCAAGAAAGACGAGAAGAGCAAGAAAGACGAGAAGAGCAAGAAGGAAGAGAAGAGCAAGAAGGAGGAGAAGAGCCCAAAGGATGATAAGAACACAAAGGAAGAGAAGAGCAAGAAGGAGGAGAAGAGCAAGCAGGATGAGAAGAGCAAGAAGGACGAGAAGAGCAAGAAGGAAGAGAAGAGCAAGAAGGAAACTAAAGACAAGGATGATGATAAGAAGGATAAGAAAAAGAAGATCAACAGAGGGGAGTGGCTCAAGAGCTTCAAAGTTGAGAGTGACGAGGAAGAGGATGAGAAGAAGAAGAAAAACAAGAGCAGGAAGGAAAAGAAGAAAGGGTCCAAGTCCGAGTCTGACAAGTCAAAGAGTGATGGCGAGGCCTTTGTTAGCCTGCGTTGATTCATTTGTCATGGCAGCTGGACTCCTGACTTTGTAGGCAAGCGACAGCTCCAAGAGCGATGATGAGGACAGGCTGGAAAAGGGCAGGAACAAAGCTGCAGCGATGGCCTTTCGCCGATTGTTTCCTTCCCTGCCGGTGGCAGCACAGAATGAATGGAACAAGATTGAAAGCTCAAGCAGGCCGCAAACCACGCACGGCTGTAGTGTCCAGAATGTTTCAATGCGTATTTGAGAGTTTTGACAGTTTGAGAGGGGAGTCTTGAGAGTTTGGAGAGTTTGGCGAGATGTTTTTGCAGAGTTAACTAGTTAATTCTTAAAGTTATTTTTTCATATTGTTGGTTTAGCATTTCTGAGAGCTTGTGAATTTGCATGCTGCTGTCCCGCCGATGCTGTTCACTGCGTTGCGTGACACTAAAACTATTTATGCGGTGATGGCAAGGCAGGAGGCGACTGAATGGCTCATGAAGAGGATGAAGAAGTGTAATGGTAAGTGGACCTTCACCCTTTCAGACGAAGGTTCAGTCAGCAAAGACAGGAAGAAGATTGACACAGAAAGGTTCAGTGCAGGACACCGCAGTGTACCAAGATTCATTGCGGTTCAGAAGGCTGGTGGGGAAGCTGGCCTAAAGCAAGCAATTGCTGCTGGCGAGATTGTTCCTGTCAAAGGCCACTCCGGCAAAACTCTCTACCGATGGGAAGAGGAGAGTTCCTCGAAAGGTGGACAGCTAGAGACAATGACGTCCCTGCACACAAGTGATGTTTGCGATGGGCTGGTGATGGATCAGCTTTGGGGAGCTTTGGATTTCGCTGTCTTCGCACCCGAGACGCCTTCTTTCTCCCAGCCTTCGAATCCCGGTCAACTGATGCTGCCTCCAATGAATCCTGGAGGAATGAGTTTCGGTGGTGCTGGATGTGGTGCTGGAATGATGGGTGGTTCTGGACTGATGGGTGGTTCTGGAATGATGGGTGGTTCTGGAATGATGGGTGGTGCTGGAATGATGGGTGGTGCTGGAAGTGGTGCTATGTCAACGGATGTAGTGCTGGAATTGCCGCCGCAATATTGGCAGAAACTCGACGAGGCCGGCTTGCGCAAATTGTATATTTGTCAGGCTTGCAGCTGGTGAGTCAGGTGAGACTTTTTTAAGTAAAAGTTTTGAGAGTTATATTATATTTGATTGTTTTCCGAGAGTTCTGAGAGTTTTATGTTTTTATGGTTATAGCTGAGAGTTCTTATTGCTGAGAGTTCTCTTGAGAGTTTTGAGGATTTTGTGTTTTGATGGTTAGCTGAGAGTTCTCATTGCTGAGAGTTTCCGCTACGTATAGTTCTTCGACCATTTTGAGCAGCTCAACTCTGTGACAATTTGCATATTCTGAGAGTAGTCCATATTTGACAGGCGTTGACTGTGGCCCAGGGTAGCTTGGCCGAAGCGGCCGCTGTGATTCAGACATTGAGCGGTAGGGCGCCTGGCAGCAAGCTGGCGAATGATATGCTCCAAAAGTTGAACATGGCCTATGGAGCAGTCACTGAATCCGTGAGTGTTATGACGCAGATAAAGGTGACGAAGCGCGGTCCAGGCAACATGCCCCTGACACCGCCAAATGCGAAGCAAATGCTCCAGAAGCTGTTCGTGCAGTTGAAAGATCTGCATGAATGCTGCAACGTCGGAAAAGCCGTCGGACGTTCTTGAGCCCCTAAGTTTGTATTGAAAGATGCATAAGATCGTATACTTGTTTTGTATACAGTAGAGTGTAATGGTTGGCTAAAGCAACGTTCGGTGAAATAGATTGGGCTCAGGACAACGCACATACCGCCTACCAAGGTTTATGTCGGAGGAAATACAGTTGAGTTGCGCGCTGACGAATGTGGTTGATGTGTTTATTGAAGGTTGTGGCGTTGCGTTCGTTGAGCGCAAGACGCTCAGTAGTTTGCTTTGGTTTGCAGACTGGTTCAAGCCTGTGGGTTTTGAACATCAGCGTTTGAAAATCACCCTCCTAGGAGGTCATGTCTGGCAAAATCACAGAGGCCAAAGGCTGCCACAACTACAGTACAGTACCACTCAATCTGAATTTCACATGGTCATTGAGTCATGGGGCTGTACTCGATTTGAAAAGGTTTTTGTTCAACAACTCTTCTACCTATAGTCATGGGTAAACGGAAGGCTGCTGCGGAGGCGCCAAGCCACTTGGCGCAATGGTTACTGGAACAAATAGCTTGGGGACACTTAAGTGCGTCGCAAGGCCAGAAGATAGCCTATATGGTTACCAAAGACGTTCCAGACGCCCACCCCGCGATACAGAAATTTGCGAGGCTAGGTACATCCGGTAGCAATCCGGCGAACACCTGGCGGGACCTGCAGAGGTGGGTCGGCGAGCCGCAATTCCCTCTGCGGCAAGTAGAACTCCCTCTCCAGTTTGGCGTGAAGAAGGTCAAGCAATCTGATGTTTCGATTCTTTGGCCTCACGAGATGTTCGCAGCACTATACACGCGTTATAGAGACGCATGGGCCAGCTACATAAATCCGGATGCGGCTGCTGCATTCTGGAACACAATGGGTTCGACAGAACTTTTCCGCGCGCACCCTTTGAGCACTGACCCGCGCGACAGAAGCAAGTGTGGCTCCCTTGCGTATATGTGAGGTTTTTAGCGCGTTGTTGTCAATTGTCAGTGCTAGTAGCTGCGCTCGTTGTCAATTGTTTGTGCGTTGTTGTTAAGGTATACCGTTGTCCCTTCACGGTGATGGCGTGCCATGTGTGAACGTGGGCAGTGCCCACAGCAGATCCGTGGAAATTGTTTCGTGGCGGTCCTTGCTTTGCACAAACGCGCCTTGCAGTGAAACACGCAACTTTTTAGTGTTTTTGTCTTTCTAACTAATCTAATTGTGTGACAGTTGTGAAACTGGAGGCTGTTGACAGCAAGTTTGAGAACTTCGTTGTCAGCTTGATATGGAGCCATATGGTGGCAAAGCAGCAAACCGTCAAAGAGTATTGGAAAGCGCTTGCCTGGTCTCTGGAAAGCTTGTGGCAAGGCAATATTGGCAGAACAGATATAATATTGACCGGGTTGAGACTGCTGACATTTTTGAAAGTTTGAGGAACTCCTTTTGTCAGTGTGAGGGCTTTGAGAGTTTGAGAGGGACGTTTTGAGAGCTTGGAGAGTTACAGTGAGAGTTTTCAAGAGTTTTGAGAATTTGAGAGGGAAGTTTTGAGAGCTTGGAGAGTTAGTGTTTGAGCCTGCGCGGACTTGAAACTTTTTCAGAGACTTCTGTTGTCAGTGTGAGGGCTTTAAGAGTTTTGACAGTTTGAGACTCTCAGCAAAGTGTTTGGGGCACAATTGTGGTGGACGTTGGGCCACATCCTAGATATTTGGAGGCACCTGGCCACTCTTGGACTGGAAGGGCAATCCGGTGAGGACGCCTTTTGCTGGAACGCCATTGGCAGGAGGCTGGTTTGCCACGATCTGGTTAGTCCAAGCCGACCTAGCCTGGCATCCACAGTGGTTGGGCCTTCCGGGCCACAATGCCAATCTGCCTTGCCAACTCTGCTCCAGTCCAAAGGAAGAAATCTTTGACATATCTCCCACTCAGGTACCCAAGCTGATGAGCAAGGATGAATGGTTAGAGAGGTTTGAGACATCGAGGAGATTTGTGGATTTGTTCACAGTCACCGGGCTGACTGGCCAACATGTGTCCCCGGATTTGATGCACACCAAGTGGTGTGGCGTCGACACATATTTGAACGGCGGGTGTTTGGCCGTTCTCCTGGAGCACAAGTTCGACAACAAGTTGGACGTGTTACTGCCTGCGTTGCAAGAGTATCCAACATTCCATTTTGCAGTTTGTTTGATGGTATTTGAGTCTTAATATGGTTCAATGAAAACGGTATATAGATATATTGTTCAATGTTCTGCCCAGGTATGTGCCCTCCGAGCTGTCGACATTTGTGGCCACTTTGACAACACAGAAATTCCAGAGCACAGACAAAACTTTCCCAGTCCTCAAGGGACGAGCTTACCAATGCAGAGGTTTGACCGAGCCTTTGTTGAATCTGTGGGTTGACCGCATGAGCGGCAGTCGCCAGGATCGACTCCTAAAAATGGTCATGCAAAGATCTGTAGATTTCGATCGAATCATCCGCAATTATGCAATGGCATCGGTGCTGCCAGCTGACGTGTCTTGGACGAGGTTCTAGAGTTTTTTCCTTGGAATTCAAAGTTGAATTTGTAAGAGAGTTATGGAGCATTTTTGGCTGTAGAAACATGATTCGATCCCTAGGCCTCCCAAAGACTGACGAAATGCATGTCAGAGTTCATCCCGCTGTACAAAGAGCTGCAGCTCGCCTGGGAAGGCTTTTTCAATATGACCAAAAAGTGGCACGACCTGTTCCACTTAGCACAGCGGTCATCGGAGGTCAATCCGGCAATCACTTCTTGTATGCTGCAAGAGGATCTCATGGGAAAGATCAAGACTATCGTAAAGCAAAGCGTGCAGGCATCTCGGCCACTGACTGCGACCACGAAAACCATGGTCAAATATCGGCTAGGGATTCACCTGGAGCATTGCAGGGTGTGATATAGGACGACCAAGGTTGGATTTGCAAGAGACTTGGACAAATTGCCACTGGCATGCAACCTCTGGAATGCTCCTGGCGACTTCCAAATGTCATCAGATGCCTCCATGCCTTTTAAAAAGGCATGCTATTCGTCAGATTGTCCCACTTAAGGGCCAAGCAACGAATCTTTTTTGAGCAGTTGCTGGAAAACATGGAGCTCACCTCACGTAGGGCAGGCATATTCATGATGGAACGTGGAACATGACTTTACTTGAACCGCGCTGGCATTTGTTGGTTACTGAGGATGTTTGGAATTGTTTGGAAAGGGTTTTTTGCTTTGAGAGAGTTTGAGAGAGTTTTGAGAGCTTTGCTTTGAGAGAGTTTTGAGGGAATTTGTTTGGAGAGTTCACGGATTTGATTGACCCATTCCGAATAGCCGAGTGAAATTTTGC